AGAAATGAGGCCTTCTCACTATGATGCTACATGCAATGCTAACAAATTTTGGCTCGGCACCTGCCACAAATCTGTCTCAGATTCCTTGTCTGGAAAATGGGCTGAGTAACATCCATTGTGTACGATCAGAAGGATATGGTCAGGGTTAAGTGAGATAATATATAATGTGAACAAATATCCATAAACTGTGAAGAACTATGCAATGTATTTGCAGCATCAAAAGTAGTTAACAATAGCATTGCTATTTCATAATTATAAACATATGTTGCAGTTAGCTTATCATTAATTTGAAGAAAGGTCTAAATTGACATGAATAAACCTTCCCAGAAAGAAAAAATAGAGTTTCGTGTGGAATCTGTATCTGAAACGGTTATATTAAACCTTTTAGAACAATTCATTGTCTCTTTTCTATAATTTTTTAATGTAATAAATTCTCAATTCTATATACCCAAGTTTGACATTTTTTACATTTTCTTTGTAGCTTGCTTCACCCGCAGTTTCCTAGCAGATCGTGAATTCATCCTCTGTGCTCTCTGCAGCCTCTGAGAGCTGAAACAGAGGGAATCTCTGCTGGTGACAGGCTCTGTTTTGCAGAAACCCCTAATCCTCTGTTTACCACAACATGAGTCTATTGCCATAGAAATGATAGCTGAGATCCCAGATTCAACATCACTGACTTCACAGCAGGGCCTTGTAAGAGGAGAAGCCACGCTCACAGGAAGAAAAGCATTTTGTAAGAGCAGAGTAGGGAGTCTGTTACCTTGAAAGAGAAGGTAATTGTCAACATAAATAAAAATGCATGAGTGAGCTATGTTGTTCGTATGCTGTGGTTTACTTCCTGTGTAGTACTGCCTGGCTAACAGCAATCATTTGAAATTTTACATCATGTAGTAGTTAGCTCTGAAAAGGTCAGCCTTTCCCTGGATTGCATTTGTTTTTTATTGAAATAAGAAACAAGCAGATTCTAATTGCTCTTGTTGCACAACTGATATTCCCTTTTCATGATGTGTTGTTTTTGTTTGTTTTGTCTTATTTCTATTAATAGAAGAAACTGAACCTGAGCAAGATAATAAAGGTATTTTTTTTTTATTTCTGTACTGCTTCTTTTAAAATGTATGGTTCCATTCAATTGTTTATTTCTGCTGACCTCACAAACAACTCTAAGTGCCTTATTTTGTAAGGAAATAACCAATGGTGTATGAGAAATATTAAGTCAGCATTTAACAGAGTGTTATTAGATGGGCTAATCTATTATATAATGTACTTAGTGACTATTTTATTAAGAAAAGATGGAGTCAACAGAAATTTTAAACTTGGTATTCCAAACTCTGAAAATGCAGACAAAGTGAAATGAGATAAATCAGCAGGAGACTATCAGTCTCACACAGGCTAGAATGAAAAGTAACCTTTTGACTGGGGAGGGGGAGCGTGTTAAAATTTTTGAAGCAATGTAGAAGTGTCAAGGTGCCCGCTGGAGTTTTTACTGTTATTATCATAAGAAGACAAGTATTATGCAGTTGCTCCAAAACAATTAAACAAATTAATTTTCAATTTTTATATAGTGCAAAATAGCTGAAAATCAAGTTTGTTTAGGGAAAAAAAAAACCTATCCTAGAACAAGTTTTCCTATGACCAACATTAGGCTGGTATTATTTGAAACGGCACCTCCGTATCATAGTAACTCAAATATGGTATTTGAGCTGTGTCCCTATTTCTAAACATCAGGATGCTTACACCTAAATTTAGATAAAATCATTTCACCTGCTCCTGTGTAATTTTTTTCAGTTTAGTTTTATTTGTGTTTGCTTGCAATTTACTCCTATCAGCCACTTTTAATTTAAATCAAGTAACCTTAAAAACTTCTATAAGGGAAACTAGAAAATTATAAAGAACAAGAGGAAATAAAATTCATGAGAGCTCATTGGGTCCTCTGAAATAATTGCTCAAACAGCATTTATATGGGACTGCATTCCAGTGGTCTTATTCCCTTACCAGAAAAAGTGAGGTAATTCATCTCAAGCCAAACCGCTCATTAATTTCAGACTTCATTTGGATCCCCTGCCCATTGGGCTTTCCACCGCACCACAGTGCAGTTTCAAAGTGAATAATGGCTGAATCTCCTGATTACAAGTTCAGATTGTATCAGTGATAATCAATAATAAAATTCATGTATTTGAAAGTGCTTTGAAAAATGGAGAGACAGAGAAAGCGAGAGGAAAATGATACAGTTCTATTATAAAGGTCTTTAATCACTGGCTACTTAAGCCCAATTTTGAATATGAGATTCTCAACCTGCAGTTCAGCACCGTAAACTTAGCCAAGAGAAATTAAAGGCCCAAACTCATGACTACATATCATGAGAGAAAATGCAGGGATAAATATTGCCCATGTCTATTTCCCATATTGCCGATGAACAATAGGAAAGGAAGTGGGCAAGAGCTCACAGTGAACTGAAGAATGATGGACAACTCTATTGAAAGAAGACTGGATCATTTTCTTTCTTTAAAAATCCATATCAAAACAGTTGTAGACATGTTCCAAATTACTAAGTATTGTCATGCCCCTTCTATTAAGCAGCTTCTATATGTAACAGAACATTTTTATATTGTCTTTCATGCAAATAAAATACAAGTAGGAATAGTCAATGGATATTTTACTTGATATGAAACATATCACATTACTTTGAAAATAAATGACCTCAAATGTAATTTCAATTTGTGGCTACCACTAAAATAATGGGAGTTTATTATTGAACTATGTCTATGTTTATTATTACAGGTGTAATATTATCCAAGGAGGTTAGGCTGGCATTTATTTTTAATTGCAACTGGCTTTACTCTTTTCAGTGTTTGATAATGTGGTGCAATTCCTTTTACCCAACTTTCACCTTTTGTGCTTAGGACAGATGGGTAATAAAAATATCGGTGTTATTGCTGATAAAACTGGATTGAAAAATAAAGCTTTCTATTTCTTCTCCCAAGAATTAGACTAACATAACTTCTGTTTCTTCATCTTCCTCAGCTCTGCTCCACTCTCCCACCCTTCACCCTAAGTTGTAGGATGGAGAACCCCTGACCTGGGGAACTTACCTGCTGCACGTTAACCCCATACCTTCTTGTTTGTAGGGTAGCTGGGAGAATGATGGCCCAGAGAGGGCTGAGATACTCATAGAATGCACAATCCCTTTCCCCAGTCTCACCAATCAGAGGAGTAACTCATTCATTCCGTCATTCATTCATTTAACAAATATTTATGAGTGCCTACCATATACCATGCAAGATTCTGGATCATATATATATATCATATGTCTATCAATCAGCCTGTATAAATGAACAAAGCATGCTCTGCCCTTTGTGATGCCTACATTCCAGGGAAAGAGACAGCCAAAAAACAAACAAATCAATAGTTAAGGTATGATGATAAATGCTATGACAAAACATAAACAAGGGTAAGGCAAATGATCCAGAAAGCATTATGATAAGGAGACATTTGAGTTGAAACCCAATAGACATTTGTAACCGTCTTTGAGGGAGGGAAACTGGTAGGAAGGATGTTAACTATCTTTCAATCCTGAAAAAAGGGAGCAAGTTTCTATTTTATCTTTGGCAAGAATGTGGGAGTGCAGAAGCAACCACCTTCCCTTTAATTCCTGATTTTTTTTTCTCTTAACTCACTTGACTTAACAACCAAGTTCATGGTTCGCCAAGGGTATATCTACTCCCTTGGACAAGGAGACTCGCAGGTTGTCAGCACAGTCTCATATTCATGAAGCCGCATGCAATGCCAGTAGTGATCCTTTGTGATCTTCTTGTGTCCCACTGGACCTCCCAGAAGGTTCTGATATGAGACAGAGCAGTATATTAATTAAGTTAACTCTAAGGCCACATTGAACTCCAGAATGAAAATTGACTAATTTATTTACAATCTCACACTATGCTTAGCTGTGTTGTGTAATATGGATCATCGGAGGTTTTGCAATGAACCCCAATGATATTCCAAATAATGTAATACCAATCAAAAGAGAAAAAAAGGAGCTGTAAATTACAACAAAATAAACACTCCCTTATTACTAAATTTCCAAGAAGAATTCAAAGTCCTCAAGTGAAAACTCTTGCCTTTATAAATTAAATAGAAAGTAATCTACATTTCATCCTGCCCTAATTTCTTATCCTTCTCATTTTCAGCCCAAAGGCTCTGATTCAGGTTCAAGGGGACAGTCAGTGGTATTTGCTGCTGCTGTCACACTTTCACAGCACCTATGGGACTGAAGTAATCCCATTACAAGATATTCAAAGAGCCTTCTTTTTTCAGATTCTCAGAGGCAATGGGACCCACAAAATGATCATTTCAGTAGTCTCGCACTCAAAAAATGTATGACACACAAGGATAGCCCCAACACTTACAAGAGTTACTTCAGCCAAATGATGAATGTGGACTCAAGTATGTTATATAGTCTAGGTCTCCATTATTGTTGCCAGAAAACATTAGAAAAAACAAGATTACCTAGGTTCACCCTTGCTAGGATGCCAGCCAGCCTATGGTAGTTGTCAAGGGCTCACAACTTGAGCTAAATTGGGAGAAATCTCCTATTTGGTGCTCAGATGAGGTATCATGTTAGTCACTCTGGAGGAAATATACCCTGCCTCCTGGCTGGCTTGTGTTCTTGAGAAACTTAGAATGTCCAAGGGGGACAGCCTCTGTCATATAGTCCTGATTGATACTTCTTTGGAACCATGCAGCATAATTACAACCTTTTATTTACCATTTCACCTTTGAGCCTTGTTGTTCTGAAACTTCAATGGAGGTGCCACCTTCACTCTCTCTTTTTTTTAATGTGTTTTATTGATTTCAGAGATAGGAAGGGAGAGGGAGAGAGGGGCAGAAGCATCAAATGATGAGAAAGAATCATTGATTGGCTGCCTCCTGCATTCTGTAAAGCCCACTCCAGCTTGACCACTTCATATGGAAGAGGCACTCACCACTTCCTGTTTTCCTAACAGTTTTTGCCAGAATCCTGCGGGCTCCTGAATCCCACAATGTCACCTTTGGCTCCTTTGTGACCCTGCGTTGTACGGCAACAGGCATCCCTGTCCCCACCATCACCTGGATTGAGAACGGAAATGCTGTGAGTGCCATCTGTGTGGGGACTTGTCTGGGGAAGTCTCACTGGTGGTGAATTTCAGTATATACCACATATAGGGGTTGGCAAAAGTAGGTTTCCAGTTGAGTACCTGAAACATGGTTTATTCTTGTATTATTATTCATTAATTATCATATTATTTTCTATACACAAAAGTGTAGAGCTACTTTTATCCGTCCCTGTATTTGTAGTTACCCTGATATCTGTCATTGGTCTCACCTGCACCTCTCTTTTCAAAGCCTTCCAGTATTTTCATGCTAGAAGTCACTGCCATAGAAATTGAACACCATGGGTTTACTTCTTTCCTTGTAGCATGGGGTATAGTAGATAATCAAATTCTTTCTTTATGCCTTTGTGTAAAAGGGAAGTGTTAGCAATTCCTTCCCACACAAGTAAAATAATTTTCACAAAACTCATCATTTAAGCCTGGCTGGTGTGGCTCGGATGGTTGAGCATCAACCTAGAGACCTGGAGGTCGCAGTTCAATTCCTGGTCAAGGCACATGCCCGGGTTGTGGACTCCATCCCCAGTAGGGGGCATGCAGGAAGCAGTTGATCAATGATTCCCTCGCATCTTTGATGTTTAAATCTATTTCTCCCTCTCCCTTCCTCTCTGAAATCAATAAAAAAATATTTTTAAAAATTCATCACTTAGAATCATCAGTTCACTGCTAGAATGTACTCATTCATTATTCCCCTATTTCCTAACTGCTATTTATGACTTGAACACATTTGGGGTAGGAAGAAGACAGGAGCAGTCCTGAGAGTGGAAATTGTCTACTTTTAAGTTTGCTTTACAACTCTGTGCCTGACAAGTGTTTACTGACTCTTTAGAAATCAGGGAATACTCAAGATGACGCCAGTGATGCATTTTCCTCAGGATCACTATCTCCTTCTTATCCCCCAATTTGTTAATTGATGGGGAGTCTCTCTGAAGAATTGAAAATAACTCCAACTCAGATCTTCTACAAACCTTTGCATGTACAAACTTGTGGGTCCAGACCATTGAACAGAACTACTACCTCTTTGCTCCCTCCATTGAAGCTGCTAGGTAGCCTGGCTCTGCCTCTTAGATTTTACGGATGGGAATTAGACACTTGTCTGCTGTGTCAAGAAACTGCAGGTGTGTCAGGGTCCCCAAGATCACCTTCAAGTTTGATGATTCACTAAAAAGACAGAACCCAGATAAGCTGTTATACTTATGGTTCTAGTTTATTACAATGAAAGGAATCAGGCTAAAATCAGTAAATTAATTAGTTGTCCTCTCCCAGTGGAGTAGCATGGAGAGTGCTTAATGGTCCCAGCAATGGTGTATGACAACATGTACAAATTATCATACTAGGGAAGCTCACTCAAACCTTGGTGTCCAGAGTTTTTACTGAGGCTTAGTTACGGATGCATGGAGGGCTCACAGGACTGATTTTAACTATCTCCAGCCCCTCCAAAGGTCGAACTGATAGAGCATGACCTAAGGTCCTTGGTTAACAATTGTTAACATGAACTATCTGGCTTGGCCCCAGGTCTCAGGTACACAAAAACATGCTTATCAGACAAGATATTCCAAGGGATAAGGTCATCTCTCAGGAGCCCGTCAAAGGCCAGTTTTTTCTTTCTATGGTGCAGGGTTTGAGCATATCAAGCCCATTGATTAACCCTTTACTACACAGCAGGGGACATATATCAACTCTCTAGGTGGTCCTATTGAGGACCCTCTTTCATGCCTCAAGGAGATGGAGTGAGGATGGCTCTCAATATAGCTGAACAACTCAAACCTTGATCACTTATCTAAGGGGTTCTCAGCTATTTTCATGTTCATGTTTTGAGGCATAGTCTCAGTCCAACTTTTTAGTATTTTGGCCACAGTGTCCATATATTATCATATTACAATATACTAATGATAGCATTTTAAAGCCAAAGGAATGTTCCAAATGAGGGGTTTGGGGAGAAAAAAAGGAGAGGAAGAAAAGAGAAGAAGAAGGCCACTAGATATGGAAAAAAAGAAGAAGAGAAGGGGAGAGATGTGTGTGGAAACAGTCTGTCAGTGAATGAAATATGGGTGGATATTGTAAATCAGGAAGAACATACTAAGGCCTCCCCATCTGATGAAGAATGTCATCGTGCCTATGAAATATGGGTGGATATTGTAAATCAGGAAGAACATACCACATTCTAAGGCCTCCCCATCTGATGAAGAATGTCATCATGCCTATAGTACCCTCTAAAGCTTATAATTCATTTATTATATTTATTTTCACTATTGTTTCTGCTGAAGGGCTTTTTGTTCTTTTCTGATACTTGAAAAAACCCACCTTTCTCATAATTTGTTATTAAAATTGGTTCATCTTATCTAATTGTCTACCAAACACTTACCTCTTCACAATAAATTAAGTTAATAAATGGATGTCATTTTATAAGCTTGTAACTTGAAGTATGCTGGAATAAGAATGAGGTGGGGAGTTAGAAGACCTAAGTTGTAAATGCTCCTCTCCAGTTAATGCAATTTTAGGGAAGTCCATTTACCTCTCAGAAATCGATTTGCCCATGTCTACAATGACAGAGATGTCAAGTGTCTGGAGAAGGTGATCTCCAATATGACATCAGAGCTAACAGTCTCTAATTTTGTTAAATTATAATAAAGTAACCAATAGTCCTGTTCTTCTTTAGCTTTCCAATGAAATCTTGTGTCATTTAAAATTTGAATCTTATTTGGCAATATGTTTTGTGGCTTTTCCATGGAAGCTGTTATAGTTGTCTTAAGTGTCTCAAGTCACTAATGATATGGTGGAAGAAAACTGGGGGGCTGACAACATGACTTGACTAATTTGTCTAACTCCCTGGAAACAGTAATAAAGAAAAGGTATATGCTTTTAAAATAATCCAGTGTTTTCAAAAGGCTCTATTAGTTTAGAACTGGGCAATGTATGATTCTATCTTTTGGAGTTCAGAGTAATAAAAAAGTTGGGTGGTTTGAGTTAGTTTTGGTCTTATTGAGACCCCAACTTAACCCTTTAAGATGTGATTCACAAAAAGCAGAAGGCAAAACAGACCCATTGCCCCAGATTCTAAAACAGAAATAAAACAAACTAATAGTGACTCTCTCCCAGGAAGAAAGCAAAGTACATCTGGAGTTCTCAGGGTCAGAGAGAAGTGATGCTCTTACAGCCAAGCTTTGTTCTTGGTGATACGCTCCAAATCCAAATGGAAATCGAGATGACTCCCTGTGCTGATGCAAATCACAGGAAATGAAGACAATTTCAGACATTAAATGTGGTACAAGTAGCAAACCAGAAAGTCTGTTAAGGAGAACAGGAAAGAGCTCACAGCCTTGTTATCATTTTGGGTGTACTGAATGAAGATGAATGCAAACCTGGGAGCTATTAGGCACGGGATAAAGAAAACAGAGTTTGAACTGTGGCTCTTTCCTAACTACAAGTCAGTGAATTAACTTCGCTAACACACTACTACACACTACTAAGTACAACGGGTCCTCTAAAAGATGTGGATGCTCCTTTTCTCCCCCTCAGTGAACACACCAATAAACTAACACTCCGAACAGTTAGAGCCAAAGAACAAGAAAAAGGCAGCAACATGCCCAAAGTGTTCATGAATTATTTTGCTTTCTTCCTGTGGATACGGCACTTATTTTTCATGAAAATTTGTAGTCTTAGATAAACTGCAGGGTGAGCTGTAATATTCCTCTTGTTTTACAACATTAGAAATAGTAGTTTGATGTGGAGGAGAGCTTTTCTAAAAGAAAATATCCTTGTATTGTGATAACCAGATTTATTTCAAGTTATACCTATAGTAATATCTATTATTTTGGCATTCAATAAAAAATGTAGAAAAATTGCATGCTGTCTTGCTTTGTTCAATAAATATAGTTCCTAAAATATTTTAAAAGTTGAACCATTTTAATTTATTAGAAGAATGTTATCAAACAAATAGCCAAATCATCTGCATTGAATTGTGTTTGTAAATTTTCTTAAAGAAAGGCTCACCTATATATTACACATATTTTTAAGAGGCAGAATGTTAGGTTCAGTGTACATGAGCTTTGAAGTCATCTTATCCTATTAGCTGTTTAAATAAAAATAACTATATATATCAATTTTTTGTGGAATATTTTAGCAGCCAGATTGAAAGAGGCCAATGTTTATGGCTATGCTGATCAGAAACAATATGGACATTTTCTCCGACTATTATTCCTTTTTCTGTGATGCATAGATAGGGATTATTACAAGTCCCTGAACCTGTATCCCCTGGATCACACCAAACAGCTCAGCGAGTTAATCGCAGCTAGCTGGAACTATTTGCAGGACAAGGCCAGTGAGGCCAGAATACCTTACAAAGGTCTTTCTATGCTAAATTCAAAGCATGATGAAAAGAGATTATCCAGCACTGTGGATAGATTATCTCAAAACAACATTAACATATTAATGACATATTTAAAATATCCCACAGGTCTTCTAACCACCTTGCCACCTTCCAAAATGGGTGGGGAACATCCAGCCTGTGGGCCATACAAGGCCTGCGAAATCATTTCGTTTGGCCTTGCTAAGGCATTAGGGGCAAGTTAATGAAATGTTTTAACAAATATAGCAGGCTAATTTTTAAGTTGATAATTTTGTATGGCCCCAAAATGATATTGTAAATATCCAAATGGACCTTGGCAGAAAAAAGGTTCCCCACCCCTGTTCTAAAAGGTTTCTCAGGTGTGAACCACTAAGCCTTCTTAATAAAGCTTCCTGTTTGCCTTCTTTTGAGGTCACTATCTCAGAAAGCGAACACCACACACTGAGCAGAGAGCTGTTTATCCAGCTCCTTCAGGTTGGCGTGCCTGGATGACTTGGAGAAAATAACGTATTTACTGTAAACACCAGATACAGTCACCTCAATGAAGGTCTTGGTTTTGCCCAGGCAAATCTTGGTCAACACTCACAGTAAAAATCTGAACTCATCCCTTTGATCTTTTAAACCTGAAGGGCAGGAAGATCAAAATGGAGGGCAGAGGGTTGTTTATATTTTTATGTCATCAAAAATACTAAACTGTTGGTCAGGATGATCCATGAAGAAAGAAAAACAAATTCAAACTATGACTAACAAGGCCCGCTGTGCATGAGTCACAAACTGGATCAGCCAGGCCTCTGCAAACAGGAGGAAAAGCATTTAGGAGCTACATCATGATCAAGCAAGGAACCTCGTAACTCCATTTATTCGCTGAACTATTTCAATACCTGGATGAAATCCAGAAGAGAGGTCAGGCAGTTTAAAAATCACTTATTTTCCCTACCAAGAATGTTTTCAGTGACCTGGAGGAGATGTTAGAAATGACTTTCTTAGGTGTGAACATGAAAATAGTTGGAATTTAGGCAGCACGGGGGGCACGGGGGGGGGGGGTAATCGTTTCAGAGTTGTTTTCAAGGCATTGTACTTCTTGAAAGAAAAGACTAGTTTTGCAGAGGAAGGTACCTTTCCACAGATTTCACTTCTACAAACTATAAAGGGATTATATTTACAGACAAGACATCCTTGTAGCAAACCCCATGGTGATTGAGCACAGAGGTCTTCAGCTTTTTTCTCATTGTTGCTTTGTATTAAAATATAGGGAGTCTACCCCCCCCCACTTTTATAATTAAAAACAAAACAAAAATTTAGGGAGAGACCAAAAATGTATTTCAAGTTGTTCAGTCCTTTTGATCTAAGTTGGACACTCAAATTCATAATAAGTTACACTTCTGATAAATACAACAATGAATTTTATTTGAATTCCCAACTGAGTATATGTCTCTTAAAGATATTTTTCTCTCTACCTTGTTAATTTCTCATAGAGTCCAGTCTGCTTATCTGGGGGAAATGCCACAATACTTGATCTGGCCTGGGAAGTTTCCCCAGTTAAGGTAAATTGATGTTCACATAAATAGTTTTTATCATAAGGATGGACTCTAGTAATGCAAGCAGAGAATAAAAAGACAAAGAAATTAACAAGGCAAACTTCACTGCCTGATTGCTACAGAGCAGCAACCTGTGGGTCGAGACCCCTTTGGGGGGTCAAACGACCCTTTCACAGGGGTCGCCTAAGACCATCAGAAAACACATATATAATTACATATTGTTTTTGTGATTAATCGCTATGCTTTAATTATGTTCAATTTGTAACAATGAAATTGGGGGTCACCACAACATGAGGAACTGTATTAAAGAGTCGCGGCATTAGGAAGGTTGAGAACCACTGCTATAGAGAGTGCTTGGTTCCAGGGCCAGCCAGCCACCCAGCTGCAGAAGAAAGAAAGCTGGTTTCAACCCAGGGCTTCCATCCCCCTTGCTATAGTCTACAATCCTTCCTCAGGCAAAACAGTAAAATAACTGGCTCCAAATTTCTCATTCCCAGCCTCATTTCCTTCTACTGGGCAGAGAAGTCCATGGAACCCATCTCCACCCTCCAAGATAATGTCAAGGCAAACCAAAGCCTTAGTTGTCATTCCATTCAAATTTTCCTCAAACTGGCATTCCCCCTCACATAAGCAGTGATAATTTAAAAAATAATTATTAAAAAGATGGCATAGAGCTGAAAAAGGGGTAAATCACCATTTTTTAAAAAATGCCACCACCTTAACAATGACATTCAAGTCAGATATTCGTTTTGTTCATGGTTAGTTGATCTGTGGAGATCATTGCTGTTACTGTTCTTGTTTTCTAATGACTCATTTGTTCTCACTTGGAGGACTAGGGAAGGCACTGTAAGAGTGAGGAAAAGCACAGGATTTTGGGTCAAACTAGGGTACAAATTCTAACTCTGCAACATAATAGAAAGCACTGGGCAGTGACAACCACAGAGTTGGAATGATGATGACTAATAAATAAGTACTTATGTATATTAACCTGTCAACTATGTGCTAATACTGCATTGATAGCCTGCCTCTTCCAAGACATTTGATTTTCTGATTTAAGTAGTATGGCATGATGTATGTCATGCCTCAGAAACAGAATCAGCTGCACAAACATTCTTCTGGGTAACCATCCAGCTATCCAGTGTATGTGTGGGGAACTGAACAGGAGTTATGAAAATAAGACCAAAAGTATTCAACCTCTCATTCTTAATTATCTCTTATCTTCAAAAGATAGATAGTGTATCTTGGGGAATCCACGCCATATATCTTTCCTTCATTACATTAGTTATCTATTGCTGTATCACAACCATCCAAAGCTCAGTGGCTTAAAACAATAACCATTCATTAATGCTCAGGAGTCTGTGAGTCAACTAGGTAGTTTTGTTCATTTGGATCAGGACTGCTTGATCTTGATCTAGAATGGCTTTATCATATATTAGGGGGTTACTGTTGGCTCCAAGCTGGAACAGTGGGAATAACTGGGCCATATGTACCTCATTCTCTAGCAAGCTAGCTCTGGCTTGTTCACAGAAGGTCACAGGTTCCAAGAGCAACAAGATAGCAAGCCACAATGTGCAAGAACTTTATAAATCTCTGTGTCTTTTTAAATCATGTCACAAGGCCAATCTATACTCAAAGATGCTTCCTTTTGAGGGAAAAGCCACAAAGTCACATTACAAGGTCATGGACATACAGACAGAAAAGGCTGTATTTTTGCAATCTACTACATGCCATTTTATCATAATCCTAATCCATTTTCTTTTACGTCTACTGATACAGGAAGTTAGGAAATCTTTTACCTAATTCTATGTGGTTTTTTTCTCCTTACTCCATCAGGTTTCTTCTGGGTCCATTCAAGAAAGTGTGAAAGACCGAGTGATTGACTCAAGACTGCAGCTGTTTATCACCAAGCCTGGACTCTACACATGCATAGCTACTAATAAGCATGGAGAGAAATTCACTACTTCAAAGGCTGCAGCCACTGTCAGTATAGGAGGTAAGGTGGGTTTTCGCAATTGCTTGCTCCAGGAGGGGAGAAGAGTTGGCTCCATTCCACAAATATTTCATACTGGGAAAAATCTTTTTTTTTTAATATATTTTACTCCAGTCACTTTTGGCTTATTTTTATCCTCCATGTGAACACTCCATAATTGTTAATTTTGCTGATGTATTGCCTCAAAAACTTTATCCTCAGATACCTACTCAAGTGATGGGTAACAGCTTTCAAAAGCTTCCTTCCTTCATTTCTTCATCCTTCCTTCCCTCCTTCCTTCCTTCCTTCTTCTTTTCCTCTTTTTGTCCCTTTCTTCCTCCCTTCTTCCCTTCTTTCCTCCTTTCCTTTTTTCCTTTCATTCTTTTTATCTTTCCTTTTCCATCTTTTCTCTCCTTTCCCTTCTCTCTCCTTTTCCCTTTCTCCTCTTTCTTTCTTTTGGGTTTATCAAACTTTCCAAGGCTCTCAAAGAGTAAGTTGGCAAGTCTATACCATGGTTGTGACAATTTCTTCATGGCTATTTCTTGAGGGCATTTTTGCTTAGGAGTATGTGACCTATCTTGTGGTCTTTCCCTTTCCTGTTTCATGCAAGTGATAGCAGGACTTACAGGTGTTTCAAGGAAAAGGGCTGATACATTGAGTTCTTGGATACTTGTGTTGGGTTTTGAAGGTTTATTTTTAAAATTTAAATGTCCCAAAGGCTTCTGAGAACATTTGTGGAATCCCTAGAGATGAAAATAATCCCTGTATCAGGAAATGCCCAGCATGTTATATTCATAGTATGTTCACTACACAAGCGTCAGCAGAAAGATGCTTGTGTACATGTAATTCAAGCATTGGTAGAACCAGTGCCAGGTTTCCAGAGCCTGGCATTTCTTACTACAGTGCCACTTCTTTCATCTGTCCTGATGGGGAAATTTCTAGTAATGTTTGTGATGTTTAATATCAGGTGAACAGAGACCATGAAAAAATATATAGGGAGCATTGGTCAAAGCTGGACCTCTGAGGCATGCCCATGAAAGTAAGAGAAGATTCTAAAACTAAGGTCTTCTCCAGGAATATATGTGCCTATGTTGTCTTGAGACATCATATCAGTTATTCTAAAATTTCCACTGAAGGGAAAACATTTCTCCCAGAGAAAATGGGTGAGAATCCTAAAAGTAAATTCAATTCAACAAATAATAAAATGATTACTGGTTACACAGCACTTTGTTGTTTATAAAGTACTTTTACATGCATTTATTACATACACTGATTCAGGCCGTTGTGTTAGGTAAAGGATATAAACTTAATTAACAAATGGGATAATTAACAAGGAAGTCCCTGACTTTCAGGGACTTTAAATCTAGAAAGGAAGTCAATCAGCCATATATATATAATGGCAGAGACTATGTTCTATGGCAGATGCATAAACAGTGTACAGCAGAAAAAGAAAGGCTGTGCTTAAAGGAATGGAGCAGGAGTAATGAGTATGAGATGAAAAAGTGGAAGTGTATTCAGAAAACAGCAAGTCTAGAGCATGATGGGAACTGGGAATGATGGGAAGAGTGGAAAAAAAGTTTGAAATGTGGGCTCCAGCTGGGTTATGAAGAGCCTAAGTAGGTTGAATGTAGCCTTCAATCAATGGAAGTAATTTAATTATTTTAGAGGGGAAAAGTGTTACGGTCATATATATCCTTTATCAAATTAATAAATGTTGAGCCCTAGATGGTTTGGCTCAGTGGAAGAGCGTCAGCCTGCGGACTGAAAGGTCCAGGGTTCAATTATGGACAAAGGCACATGCCCGATTGCAGGCTTGATCCCCAGTAGGGGGCATGCAGGAGGCAGCCGATCAATGATTCTCTCTCATCATTGATGTTTCTCTTTCTCTCACCCTTCCTCTCTGAAATCAATAAAAATATTTTAAAAAAATAAATGTTGGTTGTCAGAACTTTGGCAGGCATGGCAAGAAGTAAGGAGGCTATTCTAGGAGTCTAGAAAACTCATAAATGTCTGAACAACAACAGTAGCCATTGGTACAGAGAGAAGAGAAGAGATGCATGGGACCAAGCAGAATAGAAATGATGGGATTTATTCGAATACTAGAGGCCTGTTGCACGAAAAGATTCATGCAATACACCTTCCCTCCCCCTGGCTGCCGGCACCGGTTTTCCTCTGGCACCCGGAACCCAGGCCTTCCCTCCGGCCCGGAGCGCCCGCCGCCCCTGGTCGCAGGTAGCAGGCCTGGATGGCGGCGGGGCAGGCGGGATGACGCTGTCCGCTGTGCCTACAGTATGCAAATTATCCGCCATCTTTGTTGGCCATTAATTTGCATATCGCGCTGATTAGCCAATGGGAGGCGTAGCGAAAGTAGGGTCAATTACCATGTTTGTCTATTATTAGATTAGATAAAGTGTTTGAATACGACAATGTGGTAGAGGAATGAGTTAAGATGTGTCTGAGATTTTGAGGAAGGTATTTAGACAAATAATGATAGATAAAAACAAAACATAAGAACGTGAGAAGGTTCAGGAGATTAAATAATTAAAATTTTGATGCCTTTTAATTACTTGAGATTATTTTAGTTTCATTATGTTATGTTTTATATTTGATCAAGATCCAATGTTAAAAAAAATCTCTTTGTGTGTGTGTGTGTGTGTGTGTAGAGTGAGAGAGAGAAAAACTGAACTGATCTAATCTAGTTAAATTTACACCTCCTCTGGGCAGAAAAGAAGAAATAATATTGTTAATCTTAAGAGAGTCTCAGTTCAGGAAATTATTAAGTCATTCAAAGGTCGATTCCCTGCCAGGATTCTTCCTGCCTTTCCTCTTTCCATCCCTTCCCTAGATGGCATGGGAGAAGGGGACTTAAATTTATGCAGTGGTATCCTCTGGGCCCGCCCTGGTCTCCAGGGAAGTCTACAGCCAGAGCACTTATGATCTCATTTCTGGGCTTGGTTAGAATCCAGAGGACCTCCCCAGCTGGCTCAGCCCCTTTGAGGTTCCTCCTGTAGCAGCACAGCCCTCTGCATCTCAGTCAGATTCTTCAAGCCCCTCTCTAGAGGCTCTGCAAGTAGGTCACCCTGTCTCTCACTACTATGGAAGGCCTGCTGAATTCCAACCCAGCCCTTCTTATCCCTCATGGGGCCTGATGCAACTTCTGAATCATTTGCAAGTAACACAAAATCCAAGAGCGATTCAGACCTACCAACTTAGCCCTGCTCTCTACCCAACCACGTCATGTTACCATTTTTACACTAATGTGACCATCCCACGTCAGGGTAAGAGACCTTTATAAGATTTTCTGTTTCTAGCTTGTCAAATAAAACGAAGGAAAAATTCCCTATGCTTTTGGCTTTTTCCTTAATTTAGCAATATACATCTCTTCTAGGATATTGGTCCAAAAAAAAGAAATCTATAAAATGTGTATCTGAATTCTAAATTTCCTTATTTCCCTCCTTTTCACAATATACCACGCTGGAGGGACTTGTCACAAACTCCCCCTTTAGTGTAGCAACCTTCAGAGCTTACCCATAATAAGTACACAGAAGGTAGTGGCATGGCCAATAAGAAGAACCTAATAAAATGGGTATATTTGCCCGGAAAAGGCAGATTTATCATGTGGACATGATTTCTTGATGATGAAAGAACATGGTTGTCATCATATCATCTACAGCAACATTTCCCCTTCATCCCTATCCCAGCCCAAATGAGAACCTGATTCAATTCCATTAATAAATAGAATATACCAGCAGAGGAAGCTGTAATCTCCCTCTTCCTACCCCTACATCCCCCCACACTAAAAAAGAAAATCGTATTTTCTGACGGTAGAAAGAGCCCTAAGGTGTGGACAGGCAGCATAGAAAGGCAATGTCCCAGGGTTCAGGGAAGAGTGGTCAATGTTGAGACTAGACCAGAGTGAGGATGGGGGCAATGAGCAACAGCAGCCTAGGAAAAATAGCACTAGAATATGTGTGGGTAAAGGAATGGTGGGAGCAACTCATGGATTGGCACATAGCAGCAGAGAGGGCTTGAAATATGCTGCAGCAGCAAAGTTGAATGCCGGTGAGGAGCAGTGACCTCAGTTGGGGCAATGGAACCAGCAATGACTTGACTTCAGGCAATGAGCCTGAAAATGCATGTTGAGCAAGTGTTAGGTACTGTACTTGAATCAATAAATTTTAATCCTTCTGCACATGGGAGAAAAAAGTTACCAAGACAAGGAAAGAGGAACTCCCTCCATTTGCTAACTCATAAAAATATATAAGGCCCTTTGTTCAGCCTCTGATCTGTTTTCCCTGTGGATCTCACTGACTATGAGGAGATTTTAAGCTCCTCTACTTTGCCGAACATTTCCCCAGGAAGATCCAGTGAGGGTGTCTCAATGGTACAATGGAATAAGACCTCTGAACACCATGAGACATCTGCCATTTTCTCTTGATCATTTTGACTTTTTCTTTTAGTTAAATCTGCTAGATGTTTCATGAAGGTCCCTCTGCCATCACTGAGGAAATTACCTTCTAACTCTGCGGTGCTCCCTGGACCAATGTTCTACAGAAGTGAGGCCACTGTGGTGAAAGGAATCCGTTGAGTCACTCTAATTCAGAATCATTTCAAAGAAGCATGGTCTTATGCTCCCCAGATCTTCCAGAGCTTGGCTGTGGCACCTGCTTTCTCTATTTCTGCTTCAGGTCACTCTCTCCTTTTGGCCTCTGGTGGGGCTGGCCAGAGGACCAGAGCTTGGAGTCAGATATGGTGCCTCCCTTTGACATTCTGGCAATGCTTCCTTACCTCAGACTCTTCTTTCTCTTATTTTTTCAACCCCATCCTCCCTTAGTGTTCTGTAGTCAACAGCCCCTTTGTCATATTCTTTGTGTCTCACTTAGAAGTTTTTGCTCCATGTATTTATTTACTCATCCTGGCGGGGAAAACTGGAAATGGAAAAATCTGGTCTAGTGCTTAGGATTAAGTTTAATGATACTTATACTGTTTAAGGACAAGACAAGAAAAGAAAAGAAAAAAAGATCAGCATTCATTTTCCCCAAACTCTTCCATGTGCTTGCCCAAATCCTTATGCATTGTTTAAGAAATATGATATACTCCTTTCTGACTCATTTACATTTGTTGTTAGTCATCAAAAGGAGTCAGAAAAACTTTTGGAACCTCTCCCTATGAACCAGGAAGTTGCATTTCCCCTCCAGTCACAACTCCAAAAGGTTCAAATCACAGGATAGTTGGCAAGATGCCTTCTCTTTGTCATCAGAAACCTGGGCCCTGTGGCAGAGACCCAAACTCATTTTACTAGGCCAGCATTACTCTGATATCAAAGCCAGATAAGGACACTACAAGAAAAGAAAACTTCAGACCACTACCCCCGATAAATACAGATGCAAAGTTTCTAAACAAAACATCAGTAAACTGAATAGCACATTAAAAAGAGCATACACCATGATCAAGTGAGATTTATCCCAGTGATGCAAATCAATAAATGTGATATACCACATTAAAAGAATGAGAGATAAAAATTATATGATTATCTCAATAGATGCAGAAAATGCATTCAACAAAATACAATATGTTATTATGATAAAAATTCTCAACAAATTGGGTATAGAAGGATCATACCTCAACACAATATGGGCCATATATGACAAACCCAAAACCAACATCATACTCAACAATGAAAGATTTAAAGCTTTTCCTCTAGGATCAGGATGAAAAAGCCAATATAAGTGGCAACCTCATTGACATTGTTTTCTTCCACAATTTTAAAAAATATGACACCAAAAGCACAAGCAACAAAAGCAAAATAAGTCGCACTATTTTAAAATAACAAGCTTTTGCACAGCAAAGAAACCATCAACAAAATAAAAAGGCAATATATGGAATGGGAGAAAATACTTGCAAATCATGTATCTGGTAAGGAATTAATATCCAAAATATGTTTAAAAAACCCTCATTCAACTTTAAAAAGGTAAAATCACAAACAACATGATTTAAAAAATGGATAGACGATCTGAATAGACATATTTTCAAAAGTGACAATGAAATATCACCTCATACCCATTAGAATGCTATCATCAAAAAGACAAGCGTTAAAAAGTGTTGGCAAGGATGTGAGGAAAAAGAGGACTTCTTGAGCACTGTTAGTAGGAATGCAAATTGATTCACCACTATGAAAAATAGTATAGAGATTCCTCAAGAAATTAAAAATAAACTGCTATATAACGCAGCAATCCCACTTCTGTATTTATATCTAGGGAAACAAAAGACAATGAAAACAGGATATTGAAGAGATACTTGCACTCTCATGTTCTTTGCAGCATTATTCACAACAGCCAAGATATGAAAACAGCCTAAGTGTCCATCAACAAACAAATGGAAAAAGAAGACGTGGTGAATATACACAATGGAATATTATTCCAGCATTTCATGGTGGCTTTATAAGTTTTCTGTTTTTTTTCTTAAATTTTACTTTTCAATTACAGTTTGCATTCAATATTATTTTGTACTAGTTTCAGGTATACAGCAGAGTGATTAGACAATCATTCTTTACTAAGTGTTTTCCCTAATATTTTCAGTACCCACCTGGCTATCTGATTTCATATTGATTAAAGGTATTTTGTTTTTGTCTTTAATAAAGGGGGAAAGGAAGAAGGAGTAACAGCCAGTAGCTACAATGATTGCTACCAGCTGTTCTGCAGTTAGGCATAAGAGCTAAGCACTCTTTATAATCAGGCAGCTTGCTTATATTAGAGTCGCTGTATGTTTTAGAAGAGAGCCAAATTTTTACTGACTTTCCCAGATACTTTAAAAAATACTACAAATATTGATGACTGTTGGAAATTTTGGGGATTTTAAAATACCTTGTTTTGAGATAAAAGCACTTGTTTATGATTGCAAGGTTCTTGGACCCCTTCCCTACTCCCCATCCTCCCTCCAAAGAAAATATGACTGGAGAAATTTCAATAAGAAATGCATGGAACCCAGAATATGAGGGCAGCCACTGATTTTCTTCATATTCTTGAGACAACAATGCACCCTTAATTAATTATATTTTTCCTTCCTACTTGTCCTTGAGATAGAAGCATATCTAAGCTTACTATATCCTCCCAAGTACTATGCCTGGATTCTCCTTGGCATTGGCACATATCCATGGTATTGAGTCCTCCTTTTACATCTTAAATTAAGGGCTCTTTCATATACATAACCTTGGCCTCCTCAAGTTTCAACAGGTTTCCCTGCTCAGCTGCCCTCAGAATCTGCCTTTACCTCTCTAAATTACATACCATTTCTCTGGAAGAATTTCCTGATGTCTCCTTCCACCTGTTCTATCTGTACAGTGGCAGAATTGGCATGAGGTTTGGGTCATGGTGGTGCCTCATGTAGGTTGGTTTCTGAGCCTCATCATCAGACTCATTTAATAAAAAGCCCATAAAGACAAGACTTACACACTCAAGGTTACAAAAACTTCATAGTCACCAACCCTCACAAATGCCAAACAGATGATTAGAAAGACAAACCTCTGAGTTTACAAGGTTTTTCAAGAAGACAGACTTCTCAGAGGGATTCATTTTATTTTTTTAATATATTTTTATTGATTTCAGAGAGGAAGAGAGAGGGAGAGCAAGAGAAACATCAATGATAAGAGAGATTCATTGATCGGCTGACTCCTGCATGCCCCCTACTGGGGATTGAGCCCACATCCCCAGCATGTGCCCTGACAGGGAATCCAACCGTGACCTCTTGGTTCATAGGTCGATGCTCAACCACTAAGCCACACCAACTGGGCAGGAATTCCTTTTAGAATCCTTGAAACTCAGCAAAAGAAGAACACCCAAATGGACCTGAAAACTTAAAAAGGAGTTAGACATTGACATTAGGAGAAATTCTGTTAAGGCAAATTGGATTTAGTCAAAGCATATGTTTTACTTCTTACTTTTATGATGGGAATTGGGAGACAAGAGGACATAGATCAAGTATTTGGTAAAGAGTGCGAAGTTTTAGATTTCCTATACAAAAAGAGATGAAATCATTCAGAGATGCTGGTAAATTACACCCTTGCAAGGGTCTTCCTGCCTTGGGAAAGTCCAAGTTGGGGCCATTTCTGCCGCTAGCTCCATAACTCACTTGAGGAGAGGGGCTCTTTTCTCAGTGCCCTGAGCTTTCACACTGTGGGCATAAGTTATGGGTCCCTGTGTGAAATGAAAATGCAGGGTCTCTTGTTAAAAAATGAAGTATTTCAAGAAAGTGACAGCAGTACGGTAAACTAAGCATATAGTCCTTCTGAGCACAGGTCACACGGCTGTGAGGCTAATGCGTCTGTGGAAACAACAGTTCTCTCATCTCTCCTTCTCTCCTCTACCCCTCCCTGTCACCTCTTCCCACTTAACCTCCATATCTTACTTTCTGGATGAAAAGTCCCTGGGTAACTAATGGAGGTATATTCGGAGCTACAACACTGACTGCACTGATGGTTCCCATGGTTGCTTTGACTTGAATTCAGTTCCTGGAGACACTCAATATTTTCTTAATCTTCTCCAAATCTGCCTGTTAATGTGGTATCTGGCCTCCTAGCAGAAGCAGAGAACGTTCCAGAAATTTAAGAAATTAGAGTTATCAAAGCTATCTCTTGCAACCATAAAATGAAAATGCACTAATTTTTGCTTCTTTTCCCCTTTAATTTGATTTCCTGTGGGAACTTCCTTTCCTGTTATAAGAATGGAGGTAAGACATTGTTATTATATCAATGTTTTGTTTTGTTGAGTTTTAATTTTTGTTTGACATGCCATCTATTGTCTATTTGCTGAGCACTGTAATCTTTCAGAAACTTTTTAATTTCAAATCCTTTTAATACTCTTACAAGGTGATGATGAAAATGGAGATGGATAACATCTATTGAATAACATCTATGGTGTATCAAGCACTGTTTTTAGGGTTTTATATGCATTACTTAAAGTTATCCTCAGGAAATCCCTAGGAAATAGGTACTATTATTATCCCTATTGTACAGAAAAGAAACTAAGAGAGTTTCTTTGAACTGGAGAGTTCCAGTGACTTACAGAGCTAGTAAATTACAGGCTTGGAAAGAGAACCCAGAACTGATTCCCAATCTCTCCCTCATTGCTTTATCTTGTAGATAAGAAAGTATCACCTTGTAATATAATATTTGGCAATTTATAGTGTTTTATTTGCAGTAAAATTGACTTTCATAAAAACTCTAAATTTACAAATGATGAAACTGATATTAAGAATAATTAATAATAGTAATAGTGATAACAGCAGCTAAGTTTTGTGGTATATTTATGATTGCCACCTTTCTCATATCAACATTTCAGCAATTTTATGGGGCAAGCACTATTATCACTATATTTTTATATGCGGAACTTGTTGCACCAAGAATTGTCAGGACTGCATAGCAAACTACAAAGCCTCAATCTGATCTCAGGTAGACAGATGCAAGAACTTAGATTGGTAACGACTATACTAACCCAGTTAGCACAGTAACTGAGCAGGATCTAAACCACCAACCACTCTTCCTAATTCCATGGAATGAAAGGATACATTGCATACAAAAATTTGGTTCTTTATCTTGTCCCAATTCATATAGATTTGACCTACTCATCACAGTTCTAAGAGACAGCTTTCTGATCCTTAAGAATTCTACAGTGAAGCTGAATAAGCTACTGAGGGGACATACAACATAAACATGATAAACATGGTAAAAGTTAAATTAAAATGCAGGCCACCAACAGACCCTTTAGCACACCTGTTCTATGCATTTTTAAACCACTCACTCTATTCCTAGCACTATATAGGAAAGTAATGAATCAAAACAATTCAACATATTAATGGAAGCACATACAAATTCCAAGGTCTCAAGAACAGAAGTAGATCATTCACATGCACATAAGTGCAAATGAAAAATTTTACACTCATTAGTAGTCAAATAATGCTCATTAAATAAAATTCCATACCATTTTTCACTTGTGATAACACAAGCACTCTCAAACTCTGTTGGTAGGAAGAAAATTACAATAACCTTTCTAGAGAGCATTTGGCAATTTTTATTAAGAAACTTAAAATGGTTGTATCTATTCATTGGATAAATCCACTTTTAATAATTTATGTTAGGGAAATAATAAGTGTATGAACAATAAAATCCAAAACAATTTTTTTCTTTTATTTATTGGTGAAATGTATGAGCAATTTCAATATCTATCAATAAGATAAATTGATGTGATTTTAGAATGTTTTTGAATAACATAATGGCATAGGCAAATGTTTACATCATGCTAAGTAAAAATCCACGATATAAAACATTTATAAAATAATTCTAATTGTAATTATGTACACCATGTATACTACCTATAGTATATATAAAACTGTATATATTACTCTCATGTATATATGGATTATAACTGATATATGTACAAATATTCAAAGTGTATATATTTGGCTAATGTAATAAATTTTCAAAATTTTTTAATTTTAATTTTGTCTTTACATCACTCTCTGTTCTACAAAATAAATAGATAGTAATTTTAGTCAAAAGAAACACAAGAGGTATTTTTCAGAGGAGGCCATGTGCTTCTTACTTGAGGACACTGGGTCTGGCATTTCAGAAAAATGACATTTGATCTATGTTTTAGAGCAGGGGTTGGCAAACTTCTGCAAAGGGCCAGATATTAAATATATTTGGCTTTGTGGGGCCTACGGTCTCTGTTATCACTGCTCAATTCTGCTGTTTCAGGGTAAAAACAATATGACCACTCATAAATGATTGAACATAGCTCTGCTCCAATCAAACTTAACTTATGGAACTGGCATTGGAGTTTCATATAATTTTGACTTCTTTTGTGTGTTTTTTTCAACCATTTAAAAATATAAACACCATTCTTAGCTCACAGGAAGTATAAAAACGGGCAGCAGGTTGAATGTGACCTGTGGGTTGTATTTGTTGACTGCCTTAGAGAATGAATCATGAACAAAGACACTAGGCATGAAAGAATAAAATATTCCAGTTTGCTTTGGAGATTGGAAGTGGCATAGAACCCTGCTCATAACATTGTCGGGTAAGTGCAATGGGAGACCAGACAGTGGGGATAGAGGGAAAGGAGATTTTTCCACATCAAAGGAGGTACAGGTGGGCCACCCTTAAGGAGGCCAGTAGAAGGTGTGGATTTTCACTGGAGTAGTGGGGTTGCCTTATCTCAAAAAGACCACAGCTAGTCCTCTGCATGGACAAGGCATTGTGTTCAAAGGGAATGGAGGTCTCCCTCATAGAAACTCTAGTCACTTTTAAAAATGTGACATACATTTTAAAGCAGAGAGAATAAGAGTAAATGGTGTAGTGAGACTCCTTTAAGTACTCCATTTGACCAAGGAAAATTGTGTGTAATAAAAGAAGTTAACGGGGGACTTGAGATCAAATATCCAAAGAGAGAAACTTTACAGAAAGGAAGATCAGCCAGGTTTAGTTTGTCAGGAGAGAGAGGACTGGCTACATGAGAAATATTAACTAGCATTTTTGGAGACAGTCCGGCAGATCATTCCAAAATAACTAACATTCTGCGAACAGATCCCTGTGACCTCTGCCCCACTGTTCAAATGAACAACAGGACCAGCTGCTTCTGGTGTTGCTCCAAGGGCCTTCCCAAGAACTGCTTGCGGACAGGGTGGGGTCTCCTCACTTGCAAAAGACAACAGGAGACAACAATGGAAGTTATTTGCATTTATCTTGTCCCCTAGAGTGCTGCTGTGAGCTCCTTTTAAATTTTGTTTGATAGGGTTAGGAGGTTGAGTAACAAAATGGCCCAATATGCCTTTGTGTTTTGCCTCTAAAATTTAATAACTGCATAAAATTTGAGGTTTATAAAGTCTGCAAAAGAAGAGAGAAAAAAGAAAAGTTGTTTCAACTCTGAAACTATGACTGGGCAGTCTCTGTCTCTCTCCACTTATAATGTATATGTACATATATCATATGTATAAAATGTGTATATTTGATCCTGTATATTATTTCTTACATTGTAGAGCTAATCCTAGTAAGTCTTTAATGCTTCCAGAAATATTACGAAGACAAAGAAAATTAATATGAACCATATACTTTGTATTTTACGGTTTTCCCCAGCATGCAAAGGGTTTGCACAGGCTAATTAACTTCAAGCTGATAGAAAAGCCAAAACTGCAACCAAAGTTTCATTTCTATTAAAGACTTATTCTGTTTTTTTCTTTTGATTTTTATTTATTTATTTTTTGCGTTATGTAGCTAATATTCAAAAAGAAATGAAGACTCAATACTATCAAGTCAACTGAAGTTGTTAAAAAAATGTAGGGCTTTTTAGGAGACTCAGCAGAAAATCAGAATGAGAGACTGTTTAGTAACTGACTTAATAATCCTTATCTCTGAGGCTATTTTCACTTATTTTTTTTCTTTCTTTTTTTTTTTAGTTTCCAATGTTTTCTTAAAAATGTTTTTTGTGTGATTAAAGAAAAAATTATGAGTGCTTTTAATTTAAAAAATACAGAAATAATAAAGAACAGTTATTCAATAGTTAACATGTGACAGCAAAGCCTGCATAAACCCTTCTCAGCTCAGAGACAGTGGGGGAAATACTGAACTTTTATACATTACAGTTTTTTCCTGTTAAGTGAAGAGTCACACCTTCACTTATCCACCCTCCCTTTTACCAAGATATTATATTAATATATGAGACCATTTTGTAAACCAGTTTGAGCTACTTCTGGTTATTAGGTATTATTATTCAGTTTCTTAAAAGCACCACATTGTGCTTCTCTTAAACTTTCTTAGTGTTATCTTAGACCGAGTTCCTTCCCTAAGAGGTGGGGTTTTTGCTATTTCTCTGGGTGTCTTCCCAAACTTACCTGGCCCAAGTTTTCATGGGAGTTTTGTATTTTCTTATTCAAGGCCTTTATTTTAAAAACCTGTAACATGCTAGAAGTAACACAGTCAAATTCATGTAGACCAATTAGGAAAAGGCAAGTATGGATTAGAGGAAAATTTTATATTACAAAACATTATAAGTATATTGTTTCTTGGAAGTTCATTGTTTTACCTGATTTAGTTGTATCTCATTTAATAGATTTGCTTTTAAAAAGCCAATAGTGGTTTCTAATTAAAGTATCAATTTTTCAAATTCAAATGGGTTTTCTTAACACTTTAAAAATTTGGCACAAATTCTAATTTGCTTAATTTTCTTGTCTTAGAATCCTTTATATAAAGATAATAAAATGCTAACTTCCAACAGTTATACAAATTAAATGAGAATACAACTTAAGAACTGTATGTCATTATTAAAGATAGAAATCTGATGAAAGGCATAAGGATGTATTGAAACTATCATAGTACCTACACACAAGTGCTCAATAAGTATTTGTCAAGTGAGTATAGGAATTAATATAATTCCCAACACTCCATTAAGGAGGCAGTGAATATGTGAAGGAAATACCAGCAGCGTTGCCTATTTGCCCTATTATTCTCTTCAATTGCTATAGCGGATAAGCTTTTAACCTTATTTTTGTGCTAGCACTATAGAACTTAGTTTTTCTCCACATAAATTTATCCATTAATGCACAATAATCTAAGTTCAGAATAACTATTTACATCACTCTACAGATTAGGATATTGGGACTCTGAGTGTCTGTATGACTTTCCCCAAGACAGATGATGAGAAAGTAGCAAAGCTAAAGATGCTCTTCACTCCTCTGAGAGCCATATCCTATGCTTTCTCTCCACTTATGCGGCTTTCTTTATATTCTTTAACTAGAGGCCCGGTGCACAAATTTGTGCACGGGTGGGGTCTGGCCAGCCCTGCCCCGATTGGGCCGGCTGGGGGGAGGGGCTGTAGGAGGTTGGCCAGCGGGCCCCACCCCCGATCGGGAAGGGGGGGTTGATGGGGGCCAGGGCTGGCTGAGGGGAGGGGCCACGGCCAGCCCTGCCCCCCACAGTGCATGTCATAGCGACTGGTCGTTCGGTCATTCTGGTAGCTTAGCGTTTTATATATATAGATGGAATGCTGGGAAGATGGGTGAGTGAGAGAATCTGAGTATGGAAAGTGTCTCAAAGTTGTATGTATGCTACAAAATCCAAGTATTTAACTATCCTAACACAGATAAACTGTAAAGCTTTGGATCAGAGTATTTATTATGCTAGATTATTTTTTAATCATCATGATGAATATGTTTTTTTATGTATTTATTTGCCTATGTCAGCTTATTTGTAAGAAGAATCTCAGATTGCTTAACTAAGAGCATTCAAATTCTATGTATAAAGATCCCCATAGTTTCCAAAGCTTCCCACATCCATTATCACATCTGATCCTCATTATAGCCCTCTGGAGTAAGCCAGAGGTGATATAATTGCAGGTGGAAATGTGAAGACAGTATTCACATGGAGCATTTCAACCAATTTGCTAGTGCAATTTTCTCCTATTTCTGTAATGTAGATGTGGAAACTGGAGGAAAAAAAAAAGCAGACTGAATGCTAAGAAAAAGCATGTGACTGGGAACACTGTTCACTGCTTCTTTCAGTAAACCACAGAAAGATAACAAAGGCTACTGCGCCCAGTACAGAGGGGAGGTGTGTAACACTGTCCTGGCAAACGGTGCTCTTGTTTTCTTCAACAACTCCTACGCGGACCCTGAGGAGGCCCAAGAACTACTCGCGCACACCGCCTGGAGTGAACTGAGAGCAGTGAGCCCGTTCTGCCGGCCAGCTGCGGAGGCTTTGCTGTGTAACCACATTTTCCAAGAATGCAACCCTGGGGTGGTACCTACTCCTATACCCATTTGCAGGTAAAATTAAAAGTAAATAAATGGGTGAATGTATTTGACTGTCTCCAAACAGGAAGAGTTTTCAAAAGTGGAAGCTGTCTTGTGCATTAGTAAAGGCAAAAACTGGCTTTTGTCCAAAATAGAAGGCAATTAATTGGACAAAACTCCTACCATGTAAATCACTGATGATACCTTATAATACGAGGGTCCTGAACTTCTAGAAAACGTTGTAAAGGTATAATATTCTGTTGCCCTTGTTATTGTTCACATTATCATATTCTTAAATATCCTTGCTTTCTATGAAATTAAAAATATCTAAACTAATATGGATCTTATTAGTAAGCCAAGAGAGAAAAGGGAAAATAAAACTACATTACAAGTGTTTCAGCATTATTTGCCAATAAATATGAGATCAAGATGAGCATTTCAGAATATTACTTTATATTATGTGTAAATATATATATATATTTTTTTTTAAAATATATTTTTAATGATTTTAAAGAGGAAGGGAGAGAAAGATAGAAACATCAATGATGAGAGAGAATCACTGATAGGCTGCCTCCTGCATGCCTCACACTGGGGATCAAGCCCACAACCCAGGCATGTGCCCTGACTGGAAATCAAACCTTGACCTCCTATTTCATAGGTCAATACTTAACCACTAAGCCACACTGGCCGGCTGTATATATTTTAAAATACATTCCACCCACTATTTTAATTTAAGTACTGACAGTCTTGTCTCATATGGGAGCAGGAGGAGAAGCAGGGAAGCACACAGCAAGGGACAGGCCTCAGCTTTTCCGGAGCGGGGGCTGGGTAAGGACTCCCAGGCCCTCCTGAGGCCTGCCAGGAAAGTTGTGCGGTTCTGTTTTGAAAGACAAGCATGCAGAGTGAGGACTGTGTTTCTCAGGCCCTGCCCATTAGCCCCGAGATTAGAGAAAAATCTCCCAGGATGGAAGTTGACTGACAATGATCCATGACTTTTAGTGTATGTGTTTTTAAAACTCTGTGTACCTTGTTTCAGCACCTTTGTAGTTATTCTACTATAAAGCTGAGAGGAGACAGTTTACAGATTCCTAATCTAATACCTTTTGAAATTGAAAGTTGGTATTTTTTCCAAGAAAACTGTACTTCACATGTCATCTTACTTTTAAAAGTAGCATTAATTATGTCTTACAAACAAAATGAGACACCATTTCATCTGACAGGATAATATATTCCATAAAGCCTCATATTATTTACAATAAAACAGTCCTTTCAAAAACCCTCTTGTGAGAACAATGTGCTAGGATGATGTTTTGAAAATAAAGAATTTAGGCACTGCCACAAATTTGGCGCTAACATGCCATGACTCATCAAGTGTTGCTCTTCATCAACTGTTTTAGAGAATACTGCCTGGGGGTGAAGGAGCTCTTCTGTGCAAAAGAATGGCTGGCTCTGGAAGAGAAGACCCACAGGGGACTCTACAGACCTGGGCTGCATCTGCTCTCGGTGCTCGACTGCAGCAAGCTCCCCAGCATGCACTGGGACCCGCGGGCCTGCACCAGACTGCCATATTTAGGTAACAGAGTCCTCGCAAGACTTTGGAGGTTAAGAGACAGTTACTGGTTTTGAAGAAACTAAGGTGTGCACTTCAATCTCCTAATATTTCTAGGCATTTCAATTTTTTTTTTTTGAGTTCTGCCTCCTGTGGATACCTAATAACAGAATCCTAACTGCACAGGCTAGTATAAGGATTTACTTCATTTGTTCTAAGAGAAATTAAAGAGCACTTCTAACTGCTGCTTGAGAGCTTACCTTATTTCAGAAGGGGATCTTAGGAGAGCTTGTACTATTTTCTGGAATATGCAGAGAAATGGCTAAGGAACTGAATAAAAGAATAAAGTCCTCTTTCTTAGCCAGTGCAGCAGATTTTTAAGCATGCAAAAATAAGCCACATGTTTGAAAGTGCTGACCTCCCAAAACAAAGCTGGATCCCTGCATGCTGCTTTAATGAACTTTGTAAGGAACTCTAACAGCTGGCTTAATTTCCAAGACGCAATCCTTTCACATTTAACACAAAGAATGTTTTCCAGTTGCATATCAAAGAGCTGAAAGAGAACTTGCTGTTCTTAGCACTCTCACAGAATATATGAGATATCTGGATGCTCACTTAAAACAGATTTTTATCCTTTCCCCCTCAGATTTTAAAAAAGAAAACCTAACAAGTAAGTAATTTTGTTTGTGCCCTTGAAACCTTCTGTGTATGTAAGTAGAGTCGTGCATGCGTATTCACACTCATACTTCATAATGTCCAGAACAAAATCTACAGATCCTCTTCAAGGTAGTCACCCAAGGTAGAGCATGAAGAAAAACCATTGGTCTCAGCTTGCAGCTTCTAATTAGGCCATGGAGAGCAGCATATTTAGTGAATGATACAAATGATATCTCCTACCTCAAGATTATTAGCTTGCTTGATCCCTTACTACAGCGGTTCTCAACCTGTGGGTCGCGACCCCTTTGGCGGTCGAGCGACCCTTTCACAGGGGTCGCCTAAGACCATCCTGCATATCAGATATTTACATTACGATTCAGTAGCAACATTACAGTTATGAAGTAGCAACGAAAATAATTTTATGGTTGGGTCACAACATGAGGAACTGTATTTAAAGGGCCAGAAGGTTGAGAACCACTGCCTTACTAGTACATGGCTATAAAATACACCAAATTGAAAATGTCACTTTTGACTTTGCTTTCATGATTTTTGTATCAGCTAATTATCTAGAGTGAAAACAAATATCTTTTTCTTCATTGAGCCAATTCACGATCTTTACCTGTGACAACAGATCCCTCTTTTGGAAGATAGGTGTTGTTGTTTTTAAGACAGCTAATTTCCAATAAAAAGTTTACAGGGACAAATCAAATAATTTTAAAATGGCTGTCTCAAAATTCCTGGGAAAGAATTCAAAAAGTTTGCTTGAAAAGGGATGTCCTAGAAACTAACTTGTATCGGAGAGTGCTTTAACCTACAAAAATGCAGAAATCTTCAGAATGATACTAGAAAAGTTTTTCATGTCAGTCAGCTTCCTCTGATTTGAGTGTTCTGAGACTTAAATCATAATTAGTTCCTGTGATACATATTCCAAACCTAATCACCTCTGCACCTGGCTAAGTGCCAGCACTTGATTTTACTGGCTTACTTAAAGGACTAAGACTTAAAATATTTTAAAAAAAAAATGCTACTGGCTGCAACTGAATGCCTCAGAGTTTTTAAACAAGAGCAGTTAGGGAAAACCAAGAACAAAAAAATCTATTATTCTGAAAGCCTGTCAAATTGTTATTCCCAAATTGAAGGAATGAAAAAGAAATGTTTCTAGTCTGTGTCTTAAGCAGTCGAAGTTTACTTTGATTGGACTTTTAATTGTTGACTGAGGTCTATGTTATCCTTCAACTGTTTACTCTTTCATCCATTTAAGCAGTTCACTGAGGGTTTATTGTGTGGAAGGGACTGACCTTTAATCCTAGATTAGATAGGAATAACACGCACAAAAAGTACCCATATTTCTGCCTTTTACGCCAATTATAAAGATATAAGTATGAATTACCTACAAAAACTCATTTTCTATTCTTAAAAAATCAGTTTTACAAATTAACGAGACAAAAAAACAAACAACAGTGGTGGTTACTAGAAGAAAAGGGGGTTGGGGTGAGGTCATAAAGGGTAAAGGGGGTCCAATATATGGTGACGGTGGTAAAAACACAATGCAATATACAGGTGATTTATTATAGAATTTTACATTTGATATCTAGCCTTACCTATAGACACTCCCCAACTCAACAATAAAACTTTTACTAGTAGATGTACTTTTAGAAAGGCACCACAACTGTTTGGTTTGGGCCCTGATACATGTTATTCCTTTTTTAGAGAATACTATCTCTCCACCGCCATACACAGACATACACCTTCAACTGGTATTGCCTGTTCACCCTTTATATTTAACTTTGTTACTTACCTAGAAAATGTATCCTGTATGCCTAGACCAGGAATGGGCTGCCCCTGGATGTTCACAAGCATCCTGTTCTTAACATTCTTGTATCACTTTTTACACTTTATTATAATTACCTGTTTACTAATTTTTCCAAGTTAAATACATTTTAAATATATTTTTATTGATTTCAGAGAAGAAGGGAGAGATAGAAACATCAATGATGAGAGAGAATCATTGATAGGCTGCCTCCTGCATGCCCCCTACTGGGGATCAAGCCCACAACATGGGCATGTGCCCTTGACCAGAATAGAACCTGGGACCCTTTAGTGCAGTGGTTGCCAACCTTTCAAACCACGGGCCACTGGTTGGTGACCGCTGCTAGTCCACAGGCTGACGCTCTATCCACTGAGCCAAACCGGCTAGGGCCCAGTTAAATACTTTAACACTAAGATGTGTCATGTTCACTACAGTATTCTTGATACCTAAGAATCAATATTAATTTAGGGGATACATTAATGTATGAATGAATGAGTGAATAAAATTCCCCTGAAGTTCAGAGGAAAAGGATAAAGAGATAAAATCATGATGAGAAGATGCCCGGTAGTGTGGTTCTGTGGTTGCGTGTCAACCCATGAAGGGGTCATAGTTGGATTCCCAGTTAGGGTACATGCCCAGGTTGTGGGCTCAATCCCCAGTAGAAGCATGCAGGAGACAGCTGATCAATGATTCTCATCATTGATGCTTCTATCCTTCTCTCACTCTCTCTTCCTCTCTCTGAAATAAATAAAAACATTTTTTAACAATCATGTTGAGGAGAGAAACTTTAAAAGGAAAGAAACTGGAGTTCCAAATTGATTATTTCAATCCAAAGATACAACTAATGTCACTCTAGGGAAGACCAGAGCAAATAGATCAGAAACAATAATCAAGGAAAAGCAAAACAAAACTATCCCTAAAGGAAGAAGTAATTAAACCCATAAAACAAAACTATTGTTTAAACTATGTCAATTCTTGCATTTAGAAAATAAATCATCCTAAATTATCATGGATTATCCTCTTAATATGCCACTGAATTCTATTTTCTGATATTTTTTTAGGAAAAACTACCCTTTTATTTATTAATGAAATTACACTACAAACTTTATGAATTACATTACATTTCCTTGCATGTTAAATATGGTATGAACTGCTCGGTAAAATACAGATACAAAAATAGTCACTTCTCCCTGTCTTTTAATGACTGCCCCATCTTTATTATTAGCAGCTCTCCAGTTTAGCCCCCCGCCCCTTTTTAATTAAATTCAAAATATCGTGGCAGTTAACTGGTTAAATTTCCTAGTTATAGCTATATTCAGATTTTCTAATTCTTCAAATTTAATAATAGCATTTCCCTTAAGATTTAAAAAATGTAATTATTTTATTTTCATTGACCTTTGAATCTATTGTCTAATTCCTTCAACATTCCTAATTCGTATGTTTGTGCCTTTCCTATGTTTTTAAAATTAAAATTCCATTGATTAGGCTACTTAATAATATTTATAAGACCAACTATTCACCTATTTTAAATTCTATCATTTGTGGTATATGTATTCTAACGTATTAATTTCTGCTTGTACATGACTGTTACTTTATCTTCTATTTTCCTTTGTTTTCTGTAGTTTTTGTTTCCTTTCCAAAGTCTGGGGATAAATGTTTAGTTCTTTCTTTTTTTTATCTAATGGAAAGAGATAATGCTATGAGTTTATCATTTAGCACAGTTTTGGCCAAATTCCATACCTCCTATTAGTAAGTCATTTTCTAATTGGTCTCTATGGCTACTTTTTACTCTATGATGGAAAAGATACTGAATATATTTTCTTTTTTTAGATGTCCTATTGGATTTTATTTAATCTATTTAATTGCATTTTGGTCAAATAACGGATCTGCATAATTTCTGCTTTTTTATTTTATTGAGATTTTCCTTGGTGGCCTGACAAAAACATCATGTCTGTCACTTTTCCACAAATATTTCAAAATAAGGTTTATTCTCTCTTTTTAGGGTATAAATTTCATTCTTTACTAGTAAAACTTTCCTGTTAATTATATTATTAAAATACTCTGTATCCATGTTCTTGTCTTTACTTAATCAATTAAAAGGACTTAAAATATAATTAATATGATTGTTTTATAGATATCTAATGTACTTTGCACTCGACTGAGTGATATGCATATGGCATCTTTTGGTTTCTAGCAGTAATGCAGATTTCACCTCATTTTTATATTGCATAGACCTTTTGAATGGGAGTTTGACAGTGGCCAATTTTTAGATGAACTAACTGCTGCTCATTTGTGTCCCAATTTTTCATCTTCTTCCATTAATTTTATTCTGTTTGTAAAACAACAGTATAAAGCTCAGCTTTAGACAACCCTGACTTCAAGTATAATTTCATTAAAAGACTTTATTTCATAACAAATTCCACAATTGCTGTCAGGTCGCAAACAACATGATGCATTGGAAAGAGCACTAGTCCAGGATCTGTTGTTTTTCTGTTTTTTTATGGACAACTATTTGTTCTGCTTTTATTTGTTATTTTTCATATTATTGCTAGTATTACAGATACCTCCCCCCTCCCCCCCCCACTCCCCTCATCCTCAGACTCCCCCAGGTCTATATTTTTTGGTCGTGACCAAAAAAGTTTTTTTCTCTAAGTCTCATTTTTTAAATTTTACGCTCCTGTAAGCTGGATTTACTTTCAACTGGACCTCACTGGAGCCTTAAAATTAGACTTTATAGATATATATCCAGGGAGAATCTGATATATAAAAACATATTCTTAAAATTAAATTTAGTTTACTGATTGCTTGAATACAAAAGTTGCAATTTAAAAGTTTAAGGCTGAATGACAAGCATTATTATTTACTTTCAGCATTCCCATCAATGACGTCCTCAAAGCCGAGTGTGGACATTCCAAATTTGCCTTCCTCCTCCTCCTCCTCTTCTGTCTCACCTGCATATTCCATGACTGTAATCATCTCTATCATGTCCAGCTTTGCAGTATTTGCGCTTCTTACCATAACCACTCTTTATTGCTGCCGAAGGCGAAAACAATGGAAAAATAAGAAAAGGTGAGGTTCTAGTTTAATCTAACCACATGCAGTAATGTTTTAAAACCTACATATTTAATATTGGAATAGGGGGTGGGAGGTGGAATACATATTACTGCCATGCCAGTCTTTTTATGACATCCATGACATTGCTTTAAAATTAAGCACCCCACCATGATCTTTAAAATATCAGTAACTTTTTGCATAGGATCACATGTCCTCAGGTTGACATTTTCAGCACATAGAAGCTAAACAATAATTTGGAAGAATATGGCTAGTCCTGCTCCCATCTTCCCCCTCATCTCCATTGCCACTGCTAGACTGGACAAAACTCCTGAGAAAATGTGACATTTGACCCTAGACCAGGGTGGGCAAACTTTTTGACTCGAGGGCCACAATGGGTTCTTAAACTGGACCGGAGGGCCGGAACAAAAGCATGGATGGAGTGTTTGTGTGAACTAATATAAATTCAAAGTAAACATCATTACATAAAAGGGTACGGTCTTTTTTTTTTTTAGTTTTATTCATTTCAAACGGGCCGGATCCGGCCCGCGGGCCATAGTTTGCCCACAGCTGCTCTAGACCAAATACTTCATTGCTCTAAAACTGAACGATCTTTGGCTGTCTTAGTATTATTTGTTTCCTACTAAATGCCAAATCTCTTTAGAACATAAGTCTGAGTATAAAGATTTCACCTGAGCCTGAGCTCCTTACTGATCTTACCTTATCCTGCAGAGAATCAGCAGCAGTGACCCTGACTACTCTTCCGTCTGAGCTCCTGCTGGACAGACTGCATCCTAACCCCATGTACCAGAGGATGCCACTCCTTCTGAATCCCAAATTGCTCAGCCTGGAGTATCCAAGGAATAATATTGAATATGTGAGGGATATTGGAGAAGGAGCATTTGGAAGGGTCTTTCAAGCAAGGTAAAAAAATGTAAATAAATCTCTTCACTGAAATACGTTGTGTCTGAAAAGTTACCAGGCCAGTATAATAGTTATTATCAAAGCAGTTAATTCTTCATGCCATCAACCTTACTTGTATTGAGAACTGTACTTTGAATCTAAGTAATTTCCCTCTCTGCTCGAAAGGAGGGTGTGTATATGGGGAGAATCTTCATTTGTATAGTGTTCAAATTATAAGTAATCAGCAAAGTTTAATCATCTTTCCCTTTTAGAAAATAATTTTAAATAATTTTTTGCAATATTCTTAGTAAATAATTCTCAAATATACTTCTCTTCAATTTTCAATATCTAGTTTTTCTATTTAAGCACTCAGGGCCTGACCTTTATAGATACTAAATAGATGCTCTTAGAATAGAAAAACAGAAAAAGAAAAAATAATGCAAAAATGTCAGAAAACAACAAGCTTGAGAAACAAGTATGCAGTAGGCCAGTGGTCGGCAAACTCATTAGTCAACAGAGCTAAATATCAACAGTACAACGATTGAAATTTCTTTTGAGAGCCAAATTTTTTAAACTTAAACTATATAGGTAGATACATTGTTATTAACTTAATTAGGGTACTCCTAAGCTGGCGTTTGCTAAAAACGTCCTCAATCTGAGGGGTCGACCTCAGCAAACGTACCCCCACTTCTTCTAACACCACTTCTTCAAAATAGACTCGCCCGGGCCAAAAACCGACTCCTGCACATGGGCCATGAAGTTTCAATCGCACTGTACGTGCGCGCCCGCACGTGGTATTTTGTGGAAGAGCCACACTTAAGGGGCCAAAGAGCCACATGTGGCTCGCGAACCGCGTTTTGCCGACCACTGCACTAGGCCCAATGCCAGCCCTTTGTGTGAACTGGAATAAAAGATCCTCTCTGCATGATGCAGCTCCTCAGAACTGATGGGCCAGAGAATGTGGACACCAATTATCTCTTTGATCTGGTGCTCTTGGGTGGGACACAACTTTACATCCACTCAAGGTGGCCTTGGGAGGAAGTTTACATGTTTAATGAAAATCTCACACAAATACTTATTAAAAACCAAAAATATGCAATGTATCATTGTAGGGGCTTTGGGGACATAGAGATGAATAAGTCATCGTCCCTACCCTCCCAGAATTTAGGTTCTCGCCAGAGATTAAGGGATTAGGATGGTAATGATAATCCCATTGGGTCTGTGGGGTTGTAAAAATTCCTATAATTTATGAATACTGAACTTTTCAAACTTAATCTATATTGAAAATAGCCCCAGTGATTTTTATTAATTGAAGTCAAGGAATTTTAAGTACAATCTACTTATTGGCATCTTTCTTTGATTCTGAGGCTCTGGAAAAGGCTGCATAAATGGGGGGATGTAAATGAATATGCAGACATGTGACTATGAATACGATTCTTGATCTTTGATTTCTTTCTAAATAAATGAACCTCCCAGGGCTCCAGGCTTACTCCCCCACGAACCGTCCACCATGGTGGCAGTGAAGATGCTCAAAGAAGAGGCTTCAGCTGACATGCAAGCCGACTTTCAGCGGGAGGCGGCCCTCATGGCGGAATTTGACAATCCTAACATTGTGAAACTCTTAGGTATGAGCATATGAGTGAAGACATTTATTGTATCAGAAAACAGAGGCTTTGCCAGTTTTTCCTCCTTCATACCTCACTTGTGCTTTCCTCCTTCATGCCTTGACCAGAGAAATGTCTCTGTTCCTTCCTATATACTAGATTCTGTATCAGGGAGTGGAACATCTCATTAATTCACCTCAGTTTTTAAAAACTGGCTTTTTAAAATTTTACAGAGTACAATGTTGTCATTTCTTTTATTTTCTTCCTAGTACATAGAAATATACTGTTTGCTAACATCCCTGGAATTAAAAAGTAACCCTACAATAAATAAGCCAAGATAATAGTGTTTTTATTTCTCTTCCTTTTTGAATGGAGACTTTTAATTACTGCCTAAAATAAGTAGATCTAATAATCTATTTTTATGGTGATGTAAAATTGTGCCCAAATGATCTAATATTCCAAGTTGCCCAGTTTCCCTCTCAAATGTAGCAAGATTTTAAGATATAAAAATGTCCTCCTGATACTAATTCTAAGACTCTTTATATTAACATTTTTCCTTTCTAGCATGAATATTGTAAAACCTAAATTTCAGAATGTTTTATGGCAGCAACCTGAAAACTTCATCTAAGATCTTGGGATTGTTTTTGCTATTCTTCCCAAATTTCATGCGACACCTTCCTTACTATCCTTCTTCAGAGAAGTAGCAGAAACACAGAGGAATTACTTACATACTCAAACATCCATTCATAAACTCCTTCACCAAACACTGAGTACCTGGTCTACCGAAGTGGTCAGTTTGCAGAATTTAAAAAAGACTTAATCTCTACTTTCAAAATGTTGGGGAGGAAAATTTCAAATAAATGGATGCTTATGACATAGGATAAGTACTGTGTTAAAGGATGATAGAAGGAACACTGGAAGGGTCAGGAGCTAAGGCACCCTAGGAGGAATGATAGATACCTGCATCTTATTAGGTAAATAGATGTTTACACAAAGAGACGGGGTCCATATTTGACTATGAAGCTGTCAACAAAAAGCCAGGGCCCCATATTCTGATCTGGTCACTTGCTTTTAGTGCTTTTCCCAGTGTGTCGCTTTGGAAACCCAACCTAACAAAGGATGCTATTTGGTTCCAGGTGTGTGTGCCGTGGGGAAACCCATGTGCCTGCTCTTTGAATACATGGCCTATGGCGACCTCAACGAGTTCCTCCGCAGCATGTCGCCTCACACAGCGCGCAGCCTCAGTCACAGCGACCTGTCCCCAAGGGAACACATCTCCAGCCCTGGGCCCCCGCCCCTCTCCTGCGCTGAGCAGCTTTGCATAGCCAGGCAGGTAGCAGCTGGCATGGCTTACCTCTCAGAGCGCAAGTTTGTCCACCGGGATTTAGCCACCAGGAACTGCCTGGTGGGTGAGAACATGGTGGTGAAAATTGCCGATTTTGGCCTCTCCAGGAACATCTATTCAGCAGACTACTACAAAGCTAATGAGAACGATGCGATCCCTATCCGGTGGATGCCACCTGAGTCCATTTTCTTCAACCGCTACACCACTGAGTCTGACGTGTGGGCCTATGGTGTGGTCCTGTGGGAGATCTTCTCCTATGGCCTGCAGCCCTACTATGGGATGGCCCACGAGGAGGTCATTTACTACGTGCGAGATGGCAACATCCTCTCCTGCCCTGAGAATTGCCCCCTGGAGCTGTACAATCTAATGCGTCTGTGTTGGAGCAAGCTGCCTGCCGACAGACCCAGCTTCGCCAGTATTCACCGAATTCTGGAACGCATGTGCGAGAGGGCAGATGGAACTGTGAGTGTCTAAGGTGGAAGATGTGCAAATAAAACACTGCCGTTTCCTCTCAGACTCTGGGAGCCAGAGGAACACAGTGCCAGAGGCCCAACAAGACCTAGGTAGAAAGAACAATAGTAGACATGAGTAGCGTGTCATTTGTTTCTTAGGAAAAACAAAAACTGCGCAGAACTCAGATAGGAGGTCAATCTATTGAAAGTTAATGATTGGAAACACAGGCTAGGAATATGTCAGATAACCAGAGATAACTACTCTTCCTCATGGGGAAAGTTTGTATTACATATTGTACAGGAAAGAATGTCATCTGCTCTGTTCCTGAATTAGCTGGCAGCAGTGTATTACATTTTAATACTCTGCTGTATTACATTTTAATATGAAATGTGATACAGAGCTTCATTTTTAGTAGAGCTAATTCCTGTCCATTCTGGGAGTAGTGTATCTTCATGTATGATATTTAAATAAAACAGAAAACTAAAAAGAAAAACACATTCATTGTCTCCCCACCCAAAGATGGATGTTTGGTTTTTTTATTCAATTTCTTTCTTGCACTTAATGCATACTTTGATATTTGTCTGTGACCTACAGAGTTATGGTTTACTTTATTGATAGGGGGTTTGTAAGGAATAAAATGAGCAGTCAGCAAGTCTTCATTCTTACTGTGATTTTTAGTTCCTTTTTCTGTCTTTGTGCTTCTCCTTCAGATGTTTTTCCTTTGTATGCACTTGTCATGAATTTAATCTACTTATTTTGTTCCTAACATTTTTCTGAAAAAAAAATGTTTTTGAGTTTTATAAGTTTATCTTTTTCTTTGAAATTTTTATTGGTATCTTTTCTTTTGCTTTCATCTTTATTTCTTCCTCTTTCCAGGACTTTCTGTCCTTTTTCAGTTATTTAGCTATTTTTTTCCTTTATTTCTTATATAAAGATAAGCACTCTGGCCGAAATAACTTTCTAAATAACATTGTGGTCTGATATTATATACCTTTTGCAATATATTACCATTTGATTTTGTGTTTACTTTTGAAGCCTCATATTTCAAATCTGTCATTCATTAATTTTGCCACAGTCTATTAAAGCTCTTAAACCATAGTTTATAATATGGGATTTCACAAAATGATCTTATGGCTTTGAGTTATTTTAGACCTGATGTTTTTGTGCCTTTTGACATTTCTTCCTTTTAGAAACCAACTTAATAGGCAGTAGAATTAATATAGTGTTGCTTACCAACTTTCTGCATGATAACCTATCTTTTTACATTTTATGATTCTTTTAGAAATACTCTGGGACTCAGATTCCTGTGGCGCTAGATTTTTCAGTGGAGCTCCAGACAATGTGTCTGTATTTAAGACCAACATGAATGATCTGGGCATGAACCTATATTCTCCCGAGAAGCAAATAAACAGGGAAGAGGAAATAGCAGTCTACACTATACCTGCTTACTTTAATTTACACTAATTGGTAGTTAGGCAATGGAGAAATGGTCAGAATTCTTGAAAGCAGATTTTCCACTGTCTGCCGGAAGGCTCCACCTGCAACCTCCAAATCCACCTTCATGCAACTTGTCATCTTTGCTGGAAAACTTCCCATTTCTTATTCATAGTCACTCCAGGCAACCAAGACAAGCACATAGAAATTACCCAAGACTTTGTCCTATCCTTCACCCCTGATATTCTATCAGTATTACTTTCTAAAATCCTCCTGCTCACATTCCCTCCCCTTCAATTTGACTGCATGATACTCAAGCTCTATCACTGCCTACCTGCCTATTATCTAATCTTCCTCCCTTTTTAGGCCAGAGCAGATTCCATGGGCTATAACAATGTAAGGACCTGCCTATTCATAGTTCTGATTCATAAATAGGGAAGTAGGAAGTAGGATTGAGACCTAAGTAGGGAGGTGCTTTACATAAAAGTCCTGATTATAAGTTCAAATTGAGTCAGGTACCCAAAGGGCTCGATGAAGAATAAGGCTGCAGCATGAGTTCAAAACAGAAAGCCAAGAGGCCAAACAAAGCAGAGAAATTGGAGAGGGCCACTGCAAGTCGAGAGCTTTCATGTAGATACCCAAGTCATATTTTAAATGGTTCACATATGTGTATCACATATGCTCTGCAAACTTCAAAGGTGTCTTCCGGTTTCATCAGCTGAGAAAGTCTTATTATAAAAGAAAGACATGGAAGTCAAGCCAATCAGAAAAACTACCCACAGAAAAGCAGGTCAATACAGTTACTAGAGTACCCACCATGTGGCTTGTACTGCGGGTGTCATGCTGGCCCTCAGAGCCAGGTTTCCATAGCCTCGGTTCTATTGTCTGCCACTTTGAGCTAGTCTCTGCTTTCCTCCCTTCTGCTCAATGAGTTTCCTGACTTCCCTGTCTCTTTCTCATGGCTTCCACAGGTTCCCAGGCTCTCGGTCTGTGTGTGTTTTAGGTTCTGATATTCAAGAAACCAAAGCCAAAAACGTTATAGAAATATAGGTAAATACAGTGAGTGAGGGAGCAAGCAAGTAAATATTATGCAACCATTCAACTTCATTAAAAATGATTCACATCTAAAAATAACAAGTACAACTCCCACTACAGTAATAGTTATAATAAAAATAACACTATCTGACAGCATTTATTGAATGCTTACCATGTATATTCTAAGGACTCTAAATATATTAATTTAAACCGCACAGCATCTCTGTGCCATTGGTACTATCATCATGCCCACATTTTAGGTGAGCAAACAGGCACAGTGAGCCTGTGTAACTGGCCCAAGCACACAGAGCAACAGAGCCTAGTGTATGATCAAAGAGGCCGAGCTCTCAACCACCATACTGTGGTGCTTCAGTTTACAGAGAGGGAACCTCTGTGACTGTAAGGAGGTGATTTGTAATTTGCATGTACTATACCCCTTTTATTATTAACTTCATATCCAAGTCTTCATTGAATAGCAAAAAAATATATTGTAGCATTGTCAATTTAATCAGAAAGTCAAGTAGATAGCATGTTTCTTTTTGTTACCTCTAAATGTATTTCCAATTTAGGTTAAGATCACTGTTATTTCCTTAATGCTTATCCCAAGGTTCTGTATTGAGGAACATGGACCCATTACTTACCAGTATTGTTTTCTTTTTTAAATAAATTTCCCATTGTAAAATCATTGTACAAACTCAAAAAGAGAGATGAGAGAGAAAGATACTCATCATGCCATTGTTAACAAGTGTCAGAACAGTGTGAGACACCAAGTCATCTTAAGTGGTCAACTATCAAGCATGGCAAGAGTACCAGAGTATATTACATAACACCAAAAAAATAAAAATAAAAAAATAAAAAACCGACAATTTTGGGGGGATTGTAATGGAGCAGAAAAAGAACAATTCTCACTTTGTAGTGTATTATGAACCTATTCCATGTCACAAAATAATCTTTAAAATGTCCAATTTGATTTCTGATATTCCATTTTATGGCTATACCATAATTTAGTTTTTTCTTATTCTTTAACATTTGAGTTTTTCTAATTTTCACTATTATAAACAATATTGTAATGACCATCCTTATTTGGACATGGCCATAATTACCTCTTTATGGAAATTCTGAGGAAGATAATGTTTGGGCAAATGGCATGCACAATAGTAAGACTTTTGTTATGTATTGTCACATTCCCTAGAAATAGGGTTCTCATCTCTGCATTGCACAAGAGATCTCACAGCCCTAATCACTTGCTGTCAGAGAATTAATTCTCTATTTTTAAGAAATCTTTAGTTTATCTGGTTATAGAAAAATATCTCATTTTAATTTTGTTTTAATTACTAGTGAAGTTGAATTTTTCTTGTTCCTAGGTCATTTATAGTTTTTATTTGGGGAATCATCTATGATTCCCCATTTTTCTATTGTGTTATTCATTTTCTAATTGATTTATAAGATTCATTTTATAAACTGGTGTTATACTTTACACATGGAAAAAAAAGTATTTATACTTTCACCTTAAAATAATGTTTATAGAAGACCTTTGAACAACACGGAATTGAACTGCACAAGTCCACTTATACACGGATTTTTTTTCAATAAGTACCTATACTGTTTTCTATGCAGAGGGCTGACTGCATGCATTGATTATACATCCTATAGGATATCTGAGCATCCACAGAGTTTAGATTCCGCAGGGGGTCCCACACCCAGTCGCCTCATGGATACTGAGGAACAACCTAGGTATTAGGGAAGTCAGAAGTTATATATAGATTTTTAACTGGTGTGTGTGTAAGGGGAGGGAGTTGTCCGTGCCCCTAACCCGCTCATTGTTCAAGGGTCAACTGTACATTTTTATTATAAAAGCGATATTTGTTTACTTTTTAAAAGAAAAAACAATAAGCAATAATATATAATAATAATATATGCAATGTATAATAATAAAGAAAATAAAAAATAGCAATCAGTGGTAACTAACATTAACATCAAGATAAGTATTCTTTCAGCCTTTTTCAGATAAGTAAATAGATTGGTAGGTAGATAGATGATTGATAGATAATTTTTAAACAAAAGCAAGATCATATCATTGTATTGTTTCAAGCTTTGCTTTAATCACTAAATATATCATTAATATCTTCCATGTCAACAAGTATTAAATGGCTAACAAGTATTCTATTATATGGACTTAATTAATATAACTATTATTTTATTGTTGGACATTTGGTTTATTTCTATCTTTCATTATAAAATATAATGTTTTGGTAATTAATCCTGTTGCTAAATTTTGTGAGCATCTATCTTAAATTGTGATTGTTTTTAGATGTAACTCCTAGAAATGGAATTTTTAGACTAAAAGGTCTATACAATATTAAAGCTTTTTAATATGAGAAATTATCTTCCATTATTTTATCAATGTTATACATCTTTCAGTCAAATACTAGTAAGTCCATTCTTTCAAAGTCACCAAAATTGAGCATTAGCATTTTAATCATTGCCAATATAGCTTAAAATTTTTATTTTATGGTATATGCTTTATTTCTTTAAATAAGATAAGGTTGCACATTTTTTCAATGTTTTGGAGACAATTTATTTACTCTTTGATTTGCCTCCTACTGTTGTTTTTCTTTCTATTGGATGTATTTTTTTCTTGTTGCCTTAGAAAAGCACTTTATATATTAAGGAGCAAAATTTTGTCATACATGTTTCACCTACTTTTATCATGTTAAAAATATATACTTCTACTTATCTTTCATTATTAAGATTTTGTTAATCAGGAAAGAATGCTAAATTTTCAGTCTGTTGAGATGATTGTGGCTTTTTCCTTAATTAATCTGTTAATATGCAGAAATATATGAATTTATTTCCTAAAAAATATCTTTGTGGGAATAATCTTTCTTAACCAAATCTGATTTGTTAAAATTTATTTGCACCAATATTTATAAATTTATAAAATTAAAAGTTTATTATTTCTTCTCTATTAGAGTTTGGTGTCGGCATTATGATAGTTTCAAAACTTAAGAGTTTCTCTATAATCTTGATTACTTTATCTATCTATCTATCTATATATATATATAAAAGGCTAAACGACTGGCTGAGCTGACCAGCAGCCAGTAGGTATGATGCACATTGACCACCAGGGGGCAGACGCTCAATGCA